TTTTGGTACAAAAATGGTACAAACAACAATACAAAATATTTGTGCTGTTGGCGGTTACAAAAAAAGGTTTTTGAACTGGGTTAACGGACGCAAACTTTTGCTTTTGCGCTTCAGCGTGAATACAGCAGAACAGCAGAAGTCTTCCTTGAGAACAACCACAGTCATGCGGGCTGCTACACAGCTTCTCCATCAGAAAGGAAACATGCAAAATCATCATTAAAATAAGAACTAAAAAAAGGAAAAAGTGCTCCAATTATACATCTAGATGTTGTTGTTTTCCCCTATTAGATCTGTAGCTTCAAGCACTAACTACATTATGTACACTGTGTGTGAACAGTTGTGTGTGGGGTTGGTGTGGACTGGAAAGAACTTTTATTTTTCCCATGAAACTGAGTTAATTTGCGTGGGAGACACCTACGTTTTCTGGCTGCTGTTTTAAACACTTGAATTCATTGTGGCACAGCATTTCCCCCCCTCCCCCAGTATTTTTTTTTCACACTTAAAATGAAGAGCTCCAAAAGACATCACAAATAGAAGTTCTGTATTTTACCTTTAATTTTTAAAATTTTTTTTTTGGATTAAACAAAGTTGCAATCTTGGCATATTGTGTGGTACAGATGCTGCACTGACCATTACCATTCTTCAATGCCTGAGCATCCACCCTACATGAAGCAGTTACAGGCAATACAGCCACCTCTGAAACCCCACTTCTGAAGGCTGGATCTGGATTTGGACCTGACTATCCCTAAAAACCCACGAGGATAAACTCCTCATCACCATTGTACAACTGCCAATGGCATCACCTGGTCCAACAAAAAAGGGAAAAAAATGGGAAATACAAAACCAGAAGCAAAACCATGACTAGAACGTGGGACACCTAGAACAGACTTGCCTATTTACTGTCATTAATTACTGTCATTAATTACCTGCTGAATCTCCTCCTTGCCTTACAAAGCATTTCTGTGACTGACACTGCTCCCAGTTTTAGGCTACACGATAAACAGACCACCAGGGCTGTGGGTACAGCAGTGACACTGGACCTGCACAGTCCCTGCTTTGGGGATGTGCAATCCTCAACCTTAGTAGGTAGGGAGGCCACCAGACGTGTCCCAGTGCCCTGGGAACTCACTGTCCCCATCCCTTAGACAGCAGGGAGAGCTGTGGTGGTGTCCCCTGGCAGTGGGACAGTGGGTAATGGGGTGGGACATTGGTGTCTTAGGGATGGGATCCCCTTCACCTGCCTGAAAGCAAGTCCTTCCCACTGCCTTGTAGGGTACAAAGAGTGGGGATCACTTCTTCAAATAGTTTAATGTCTTAGTTACATTAGTCAGGGAACAGGGACTCTGGTCTCAATGCATTAACCCCTCCCGTGGCCTCTCAGAATAAACAGCAACTGCAGGCTCAAAAGCCTGCTCAAAGGCAGGCTCAAAGGGTTAACTGCCTCACTGCAGCTCCTTGTAAGTCACCAGCACCTCCAGCTGCTACTGGCTGTCACCATGTCACATCCATGAGGATCAGAGTGGGACAGAGTGATGGCAAAGCCTTGTCAATGGGACCCCGTGGATTAATATGAATTTTTTCAGCTGGGTTACAAACCATCAGCAACATTAGCAAACAAAAAGGTTTGTAAAAAGTGATCTGTTTTCATTGCTGGATGTGCCCCTCGCTTACCTTCCATGGTCCCACTGCGAGAAAAGGGGCCTGCTGCTGCTGCTGCTTGTGGGGCTGTAAAACTCAAGAGAGGGAGGATGTGGGGAGGAGAAAGGGGGAGAGGAAAAGAAGGAAGAGGAGGGAGAGAACTGGGTCAAAACACAATAATCTGGTTGGTTTGATTTATAGGCTCGTGGGATTGGAATGGCTGGATTGCAAATGCTGCAGAAAAAAATAATCACCGATTAAAAAAAAGTCGCCAGTGGAAACAGGTTGGTTTATTTTTAATCACTCGAAGAGTTTTGTTTGACTTAGGTTGCATAAATGTTCTTGAAAACCTGAAATGTTTAGACAAGCTGAAGTCAGATAACATCCCCTCCATGGCCAAGTGTCTCCTCTCTGCTGGGGAGAGAGCGTGCTGCCGATGGCCTGGAGCCACGTCCCACATCCCTGCCAGCCCCTTCCCTACCTGGAACCCCTCATCCCAGCCACAGCCACAGCAGATGTTAAGCACCAAGCTCTCCGGAGCAGGGACTGAGCTGCTCTCCCAGGTAAGCAGTGCCAGGTGATGGCAAGGCACACCTCACAGCAGAGACCTGGCTTTGCAGGATCCACATTCCAGCATTCCAGGAGCTGCACAGAGCCTGCAGGCAGTGGCACCAACCCAATGAATGGAGAACCATGGGCATCACCCGGCCCTCGAGCTGAATCCTTCTCCTGTGTCGGTGATGAGGCTACGGCGATGGACACCAGCAGCAAAGAACACCAAGTGCATTTTTATTTTTCACTACACCTGTGCCCAGCAGCTTCTGCAGAGGTGCAAAGCCTTGGTGGTGAAATATTCCAGCCCGTGGCTTTTCCAAAAGAAACAGGGAAGAATCAAGAGTGCCATGGGTAAGGAAGAGAGGCTGTGGGGCCATGCAGCCTCTGTGCCAGGCAGCTGGGAACAGAGGCTGTGAGGTTTGCCAGGAGTGGTCAAGAGGAGGGGGACGGCACATGGCAGAAGCAAACCAAGACTTTCACGGTGGTCACACAAGATGACTGAGCTCACAATGATGGAATGGGAATCTGGAAGAGTGTCAGGTGCTGCCAGCCCGTGCCTGTGGTTTGACATCCTCACCTTGCTGCTGCCATCAGCGCCGTCCCTCTCCTCTGAGGTCCACACTAGGGCCTCCTGGTCTTCTCAAGAACCTTGGGTGAGAGTGAGTTTGCTCTCCGAGCCATGAAAGACAAACTGACCCATTGACTGACCAACTGACCGACCAAGACAAAAAGAAAGCTCTCACCCTTGGTAGTTAATAACATCCTGGAAACGCTGAAGTCCCCTCGGGCAGACTTTTACCATATTCCACTTCATACAAGACACATTTCAAATGCTCATTAATTTACAGAAATTGCATTTTATAGAAAATATGATACAATGAAATATAAAATGCACTAGGAGCATTTCAAAAATCCATAGAGACGATCTTGCAGCCCAGTTTACCCTCTGAAAGGCGCCCACTCATCACCGCAAGCTCTCGTCCTCTCATTCTCGCTCTCGTGTGCACGCGCTCGCTCCCCCCGCCTCCCCCCCTTTGACTCTTAGCATTCAACTTGAGAATCAATAGAGATATCAAAAAAAGCGTGATTATCCCCTGGATAATCACCTTCCAATACTGTGCACATTCTTGGATTTAAAGGAAAATATATCTAAGCACTTTTACAAGTTTTAGCGAACCCACTGCAAAATCGTCTGCAGAATATAAAACACAGGTAATCCAAGATTTCATAGCACATTAATTAAGTGGCTCATAATCCATTAAATGTGGTTTATATTACACATCCATGCAGTCTAAATCATTTTACAAACATTAGACATAAACCCACTAGTCCAAATCAGTAAAGGAAAAAATGTAATAAAAAAAGCTAATAACTATTTGTTATTGGTTAAACTGACCCTACATATAAACTAGGTAGTTTGCTACCATTTATAATACTGATGTTGAATTATGCCTGGATGCTGTGAAACCTCTTGCTTACTTGGCAATGCTTGAGCATATTAACCACAAGATACTTAACAGGCCCTCGTTGCACTTCTTCTCCAAAAAAACACATTTACTACAGATAGCAGCGCCTACCCATCGAATAGAAAGGACACACATTAGCTGAGTTACACGATGTTGTTGAGCTTTGGCTACTAATGCTCCAAGGCATTAATGTGGTACTAGACTAACTCCATACTTAGGGATGGGAGAAGTGTGGGTAACCTTGTCCCTGTCCTTGGCACTGCACAAACCCTGCCTCAGCCCAGGAGAGCAGCACGGGTGCTGGGCATCCTCAGGGATGGGGGACACCACCAGCAGCACCAGCAGCACCAGCAGCACCTCCTCACCTCGCTGGTGTGTCCATCACTCACGAGGTCGTGGGAGCCAAAACACGGCGACAGCAGAAAAACAAACAGATGGGCCTTTGGTCATGTCACGATTTACTTGGTAGGGTTTAGGCAAGGGCTGTCGGAGATTTCTGTTGCAATAACCAAAGGCTTTATCAATGCTATAGTTCTATGCAGCTACATTGAGTGCGACCAGGGGCCAGCAGAGCCCTCTGGTCAGTATTTTGCATCTGATAACACTGAATTATATACAACATGATGACTAGTTCACCACCTGCTGAGGCTTAAAGATGGCTGTTAAGATTTTGACTCAAAATATCTCCCCCCTCCCCACCCCCCATCCTCTTCCACCCCAGAATGAGTCACCCCCTTAAAAAAAACCCAAGAAAACAAAACAAAACAAAACAAGGCAAAAAAAGAAACAATCTCCACAGTTCCTTTTTGTTAACTCCTTCCCAGCTAGAACTGGCTTAGGGTCACAGGGAGTGCTGCCCAGGATGGTTGTATGTTTGTTTTCATCACTCCTGAGATTGAAGGGAATCTGACACATGCACCAAAAGGCACTTTCAAATATATATATATATATATATATTTTAAAAACAGTGCTTCTGTTCTAAGAAATTCAAGTTAAGACAGAGTGCCTTTCACTCTCTTTAGTCATAAAGCAGGTAAACGAGCAATATCCCAGCTGACATTAAAAAAACAAAAAAAAACCAAAAAGAAACCTGCAGCAGAGACAAGTGTTCATGCGAGACAGCTCAATATTCTAGGAAAAAAAAAACAAAGAAAAAAGGACAAAAAAAGAAGAAACCTCCTATATCACCACTAAAAATAACAATACAGTCAGCAGGGGATATTAATTAAAAAAGCTGCCACATCTGTACAGTTCTTGCTCCTGCATCGGCTCTTTTTGTTAACGCTGTCTGTGGGTTGTTTGTTGTTTTTTTTTTCTTCTCCTATATTTTCTTTCTTCTTCTTTTTTTTTTTTTTTTTTAATTTTTTTTTTTTTTTAATAAGATGAGGTCAGTTTAATCTTCCTCTCCTCCCCCGTACATGTCTGCCAGTTTCTTGAACCTGGGCCCCCAGTCGTTCAGGTAGTCGTAGTCCTGGTCCCCGGAGCTGGAGGAGTTGAGGGAGCTGACGGAGCCGGCGGTGGAGCCGCTGCCCTCGTAGTCAAACACCAGCAGGGAATCGTAGGGGGGAGCCGTGGGGTCGTTGTCTGCTGCACGAAGGCCCTGGGAGGGTGAACACATGGTGTTAATGCCCACCACGGGGGTCTCTGGGGGAGTTTGGGATCCCTGCAGAAAAGCTAGAAGGGAAAAATGAGCATCCTGGAGCGTCCCGGATGCACCTTTCAGCTGTCCCCAACAAAAAACCCAAAATCTCCCAGTGCCCCTAAAAACAGCTGTATTGAGTGGCAAGGGAGTTATTTCCAACCATCCATTTCTGGACCTGGAAAGCTTTTCTGTCCTGGCCAGCATGCCCTTTCTGGGGTTGCCTGTTGAGATTTCCAGCTTAGCCAATAAAACAAAATCCAGCACCCTTCCTCTCCCACCAATATTTTAATTCCGATGATTTTCATTCCTCTAGAAAAACAAAATTTAAAAAATAATCACTCCCGGCAAAATTCTGCAATTAGGACAGACGTGGGGTGTGGAATGCTGGGCAGAGGTTGGGGAGCATTGCTGCTCCTGTGCAGTGTGGGCAGCAGTGTAGGCAGGCCATGGAAATGGCCTCGGGATATGGAGAAAAAATTGCTTTGCTGCAGAGCCCAGCTTCAGGAAAAGCCGGGTGGAATAGCCCTGCAATAAAGCAAATGTTCCACATTCCCACCTTCAGAAGCCCCAGCCTCAGCGTGGGGAGATGAGCTGGTTTCAGGAGCAGGGGCGTGTGTGAGAAGAGTGAGTCTTCACAAGCATGGATATGTGTAAATGTGAGTGAAGGATGGGCAAAGGGACAAAGGAAAGAAGGGATTTTAATGATGAAAATGAGAAAAGCACAGCAGGAAATGTATGCAATAATAGAATTAAATGGCTGTAACATTTATTTTTCTGGCTTAGGAAATGGATGGTGTGCTTTGTCTCGGAGGAAATAATGCTTTGATTGGTTTGTAACCACTCAATCACTCAAAACTAAAAATGAGATAAGAAATACCAAATGGATAGATATTTGTACAGGCAGATAAAGGAGCAGTAATCTAACATAAAGTAAAGAAACTCTCTGATGTGAGTCTGTCTGTGCTGCAAACTCTTTGAGGCTTTACACCAAACAGCTTATGAGGAAGGCACAGACTGCTGAAATAATTACGAGTCCAGAAGCCACAAATGGCTCATTCTGCCTGGGTGCTGAAAAGCATGGTGTTTGTGACACCCACAAGACAGAAATCTTGGTTTTTTTCCTGGTTCAATGCCTTCATTAAGCCAAGCCCTGCATCCTTTGCTCATCCCAATCTTTTCCCTGGCTGGCATCAGACTCCTGCCATGAGCAGTAGCATCACTTGGTCTGTGCAGTCAGGGAAACCCGACTTCAGGTGGCTGCTCAAGCTTTGAAGATGTGACACAGGACCCCCTACAGAACATACCTCATTAATAAAATCACCAATATCCCCTGGATGTGGGATTACTGGTCTTATAGGATACTGTGGTTCAGCACCAATAGGTCTTTCATCCACCCTTCTGACTCCAGGTGTCTTGTTCAGCACGTGGTCCATGGTCTCTGGCTGCTGGAGCTGGCTTAAATCGTAATCCTGTGACAAATGGGAAGGCACAGTGTGAAACCCAGAGCTTTTCCTTCAGATCACCTACTCACTCAATGTGCAAACAAGGGCTCTAATTCTCTTTTAGCTGAAGTTTGACAGCAAATCTTATCCCTGGGTATGTAGCACCTCCATCTAAATTACAGATGAACCTGACCTCTGAGGAGCTCATAAAATTGACCTCCTAGGAGTATATCTTAAAAGCTAAATCAAGTATTTCAATACTTTCTGAATACTTCACACAGCATCTAAATATCTGGGATAAAACCCTGGCTTTAGTTTGTGTGTGCATAGATGTATGCATAACTTTTTTGACAAAATACACAATATAATGTAGAGACACAGTGTTGGTAGACATATTATTGCAATTACATTTCTACAGAAGTAAAAACATTAAAATGTGTTTTGCATTTATGCATGTAGGCTTTTTAAAGTAATTACGTTCTTTTTGCTTGTGAAAAATCCCAACAGAAGAGGTTTCTATCACAAAATGAGAATCAGGTAATATTTCATTAAAAATGTATTCATGTAGGTAATGGTGTTTTGCTGCTCATCCTTTGCTGTTATTTTTAACGAATCCTTCCTAAAATATTAAAGCCTACAGTGTAGTTGCCTGAAACCAGATTCTTCAGCTACTTGGAATGCTTAGAACAGTACTTTGTTCTACCAGGAAAACTATCCTTGTGCTCAGACAGGGATGATTGAATCTCCAGGAGCAATATTTATAAATAACTTGACAGCGACGAGACAAAAAAAAGAAACGTTAATTGCGAGGATTTTTCTGTGGAGTAAGAACTTTTCAAGGTTTGGGTAAACTCCTGCCTCAGAGTTTGCCATGGCAGCTCTCGCTGGGCTCGCCTTCAGAGGCCACTGGGACCTCCAAAGGCAGTGGTTTTTTGGGATCCCTAAGCACTGACCTGGAACCATGCAGTCCAATTCAACAGGCAAAACCAAAGCCATTACACAATGTACAGTCACATCATCTGCACAAACATCCTGTTTGAGACTGTCCTGGGCTCCCTACTCATGTTTGGTAGGAGTAAAAATCCGGCGACTTCAACAAGAGTGACCAAACTTTGCTATTTTATCTGAGGAACTGGACATGTAGCAGTGGAAAAGCACATCCCAGGAGTGCAGGCCAGGGAAGTTTCCATGCAATACCAGCAGTGGTGTCTGTAGGAAGAGCCACTGGAGGAAAGCTGACGTGTTCAGGCAGCCTGTGGCTCAGGGCTCTGTCACCCAGCAAAGCTTTGCCACCGCGCGCTGCGTGGTGAAAGAGAAAATCCCCAAATCTCTTTAGACATTTCTCACAAACCATGTCCAGAAATTAAAAGAAGTTAAATGCATATTAGAGATGATTAAGTAAATGCAGGGAAAGCCCACAGAAGCTCAAGGCTCAAGCAAGCCAAGGCAAGAGACTGCAGCCACAGAGCTGGGCAGGGCAGTAGCTGCTGGCTGGTTTTATGAAGATCTCTGGTAAAATAAACAATTTTAATGATTTAAGTAACAGAAATATGGTTTGAACATGAGTGTCAATGGAGTGATTTACAGTCCTTCCCCAGGAAGCTGCCTAGGGGGTAGAAAAATCCCTGTGGCACTTGGCTCCTGGCATTGTCCTGCTTGCACAGGAGGGTGTCTCAGTGATATCCTGAATTTCCTGGACCTGCTCTCTCTCCACCACACCAGGGAAGCCAATAAAGATGCCTGGTCATAAAGAGAGGAACACAACCCTTTGCATGTACTTTACTAAAAATAACGTGGTTTCTGCCTTTTTGAGAGTACAGATTGCACAGCTCTCCTCGGCCACAGCTCAGGGGCTCTTCTCACCTGATCCTCCTCTCCACCTCCCTCCTCGTCGTACTTGAGGATGTTGTCCCTGACGTCGTCCTCGGGGTCGATGAGCAGCTGCTTGGTGTGGCGCTCCTTCTCCCGGCGCTTCATCCACACCACGAAGAGCAGGACCATGGCTGCAAGGGAGCAGTGGGTGAGCTGGACTCCTGCAGCACAGGGGAGCCTGAGGCTGGCCCAGCACCTTCCCCTGCCCACTGCAGAGAACCTCACTGCCTGCTGGCAGGACGAATGAAATGTTAACCTATTGCAGGGTCCAATTTTTAAAGGAGATCAGTGAGAGCTGTAAATACTGTGACAGATTCCCACTACAAACATTTCTTTAAGATCCATCACCGGTGCTGATTGAGCCGTTATTAATCAGGAGTAAAACACACAATCGAGGGAGGAGAAACCAGAAAGCGTGAAAGCTGCAGCTTTCTGAAAATATTTGATCTAAATCCTGAATTTTCAGGATTAGATTTCCACCTTTATTTTATTCAGGGGCATAAAGATGGAGGGAAGGGAGCTGCAGAGAAGTAAAGAGGTGCAGATACCCAACATTTGTGCACAAGGGGCTGTTCCAGCAGCGTGGCACAGGTTCAGCCCATTCAGCCCTGACTGTGACAGTCTCTGCTGTTTTCTGCCAGGCAAGACTGATCTGGGGAGGATGCACAACACTGGGTCCTGTAATCCAATTTGGCCTCCCTCATACTCTTCCTTGCTCCATGAGGGAGGCTCTTTAGACTTCTGAGATCAGATTAGCCAGGACATTAGCACATGCATTTGGCCATCGACTTGGAAAGCAAATCTCAGATGATCTGAAATCCTTTCAGAGGGCAGGGCTAGCTTTGCAGAACGAGGGAGAGCAAATCTGGTAGCACACAGCCAAGCTCCTCAGGCATCAGCATTCGCATGCCAGGCTTGGCTAATCTCTCTCAGTAACAGGGAGAGATGAGCAGTTCTGGAATCCTGAGACATTTTTCCCTTCTTAAACAACTCTACCCACAGGGAACGCTGGCTCACTGCTCCACAACCTCACCCTTCAAAGGGACACCCGCATCCCAGGGGCTGTGGGCTCCCTGTGAATTACTGCATGCAAGATTATCTGGGAACTCAAGTCTCCACTAACACAAGGCAGCCAGATCTTGTTTTCCTCAAGAACGCGTTAATGTGCTCATTTTCATTCTCCTGCTAGCTGCAAATAATGCCCTGAGGAATGAAGTTCAGCCTGGGCAGCTGCTGCAGTTACACCTCCCACTGTCTTCTCTCCCCTCTGCTCTCCATACGAGCCCCGCACTGAGCTGCAACGGTGGCAATCTGCACAAGGGAGCAAAGGATGGACAGCGGAGCTGGGAACAAATGTCCCAAGTTAATTCCACCCGAGTCAACCCTCAACTGTGCCAAACCAACATAAGCGAACTCAGGCAGGATGTGAGATCCCGGAGTTTGGGGTTTTAGCTGAGACCAGACCCTGGGGACATGGTCCAGCCTGCAGGAGAAGGTGGCCAGGAGGATCCAAACTCCTCCTCCCAGCACCGAATGTTTACACCCGACAGGAATTCAGCGAAGTGAGCAAAGAGGATGGGACAGCTAATTACTGCCATTGTGTGTCAACTGGTGGCCATCCCTGCCTGCCAGCTAACAGAATTGTTTTCAGATAGTTCAGCATTTCTTTAATGCTTATCCCAGATCTAGTCAATAAAGAAAAAAAGGAAAAGGAAAGAAAATGTAACTCTCATCTGTAATATAAAACCTCAGCTATTTAGCAGACTATTGAAGTCCTTTTTTCATTGTTCCTTTTCAAGTCTCTCACAACAAGATACCTGACTGGTCCACAAAGACAATATTATAATGGTTAGTGGGGTTTATCTTTTTATTTCCCTTTTTAAAAAAATTATACATTTTCATGCACTTGTGGAAAAAACGATGCCATTAATGCCTTTACAGGTACCTTGGGAAAAAAAAAAAAGACCTTCAAAGTGTCAATGGTGGATATAGTGCACTCTCCTTCCTTTTATTCACTCTGCAGAAAGGGAAGTGCTATTACTGCTGTTAGAACCATTTTCGCTCTGCATGTAGTTTTCCATGAAATCTATTGTCTTCACCCTTCACAATTTTTTACTGCATTGCTCTTCTAAATGTGTTATTTGTGCAGCTAATACATCAGGTAGCAAGAAGAAGAAAAAAACCCCTTTGAGCAAAGGTAAAGGCATAAACTTCCTTCACAGGAGCAATCTTGGATCTGTCCCCTTGTTTCTGCTTCCTTTTAAAGTCACCCAACTTTGACCTGCTGACTCTAAAATGGACAAATAGCACAAGAAAATCCCTCTTCTGACTTTTTCTAGACTATTGTTTAGAGGTCATGATGTGAAACAGATAGAAAGGAGGCAAAACACTGGAAGGATGTAACTGCAGAACTGCTCATTGCAAATTACATTTTTCATCACTGATACAGTGCTTTGCAGCTCTCCAAGATAAAAAAAAAAGTCAATTAGAATTACAATGAATGTAAAAATAAGCTTTTGTAATAAAACCCATAATTTAAAATGGGATAATGTATCTGAAAATGGAAAGAGGAATCTCTTAAATCAAATGTCCTTCAGCTGAAGTTAATTTCAGTCAATAGGATTTTCAACCGTTTTTAATTGTATTTTAGCACTGGATTTATACAAGAGCAGCAAAAAGAAGACCTGTGTTTAATCACCTCTGTGGCTCCAGTGCAAACTTTGAACCCAGGGGCAGCAGCAAACCTGCACAGCAAAAGGAGGTGGGGCCGATGAACACCTTCATCTTCATCAGTGGCAGTCTTTGTGGGACTCCCTGGCTGAAGGGAGCAGCCCACACTGGGAATGAAGGGCAGGAATTGGCCATCATGGCTGGGCACAGGGATGCTCCATCAGCTCAGCTGGGCTGGGAGAGGAGCAGGGCTGCACAAACACCCTGATCCAGTAGAACAATTACACACCAATACACTCCAGTACCAGCCCAGGAGGTGGATGGATGCCCAGGGCTGACCCATTCTCCTAATGCACCAGGGCATGTCCCCACCAGGTGACATTTGGAGCATACGTTGCTCTGTCTGCTCTCTGTTAAAACGCACTGGGGCTAAATATTAAATGCGATTTAGCACCACAACTCCCATTAGCTTTAATGAGAGTCCCATGGACTCATCCTGTGTTTCTTGATGAATATTTACCCCATTGCTCATTTCAGCACTTGTTTCTATCTATTCCTACTGTGCCAACTCCTGCTTGAAGTTATAATGATATAATTTTTACTTTTTAAGTGTGTGCACACATGGTTATTGGTAATGCTGACAGAAGCTTGGGACTGACAGCACTCCTGGGCAAAAGGGATAGTTTTGCCTTGAGGAAAGGGATGGCCAGTCCTTCTCTGTGATGTATCCCCAGTCCTCCATCATTTCTGACAAACTGGGAATCCTTTCTCTAAAACCACTCATAATTGCCCATGATCCCCCAATCTGAGGTCATTTCTAAAGCAATGAGAATAACTACAATTCTTCTTTTCCTTGGAACAACCAGAAAAAGAGTTATGCACTGGCTCTGCAAGGGACTAGCCAGTGTATCTGGTACTGGGAACCAGTATATCCACAGCCAGCCAGACATGAGAGCTGTGAGAGAATCTGACAAGAGAAATTTGGAAGAAGCATTCAACCTTTCCCTGCAAAATGTGGACGATCCTATCATACCCACCATTTACAGGTTGTTGTCAGGTGTGTAATAATGTTTGCAAAGCTACTGGAAGTCTTAGAAAGACATGTCTGACACAGGCAAAGGTCATTTTGCTGATGCTGCACTGAAGGAAGTTTGAATGCAATGTGTGAACCACCCCCACTCCCACAGCCCAAGCTTGAGGAGCTGCCCTCTGCATGGAGCTTGAAAAATACAAGCTATAGGAAAGGACAACAAGGAACAGGGAAACATGAAGGAGGGTAGACTGAGAGCAGTTTTTGAAGAAATTCTTTACTGTGAGGGTGGGGCACAGGTTGCCCAGAGCAGCTATGGCTGTCTCATCCCTGGAAGTGCCCATGGCCAGGCTGGAACCTGGAACAGTTGAAGGAACCTGGGCTAGTGGAAGGTGTCCCCTGCCTGTGACAGAGGGGCTGGAGCAAGATGAGCTTTAAGGTCCCTTCCAGCCCAAAGCAGGCTGTGATTTCAGGCCAGGCCCTGTGGTACTCACTCAGTAGGATAATGATGCAGATCAGGATGGCAATGATGGCCCCTGTGCCCAGCCCTGCAGCAGCCACAGCCCCGATGGTGGTGCAGTCACCATTCTCGTCACACGGGCACACCTTCACCTTGATGACAGAGGTGTTGTACAAGGGGGGGTTTCCTGAGTCTGTCACGATGATGGGCACGTCGTACACTCCTGCTTCCAGGTACATGATCCGCAAGCTGAGCTGGGCGTAGTCCCCTGGAGACCAAGACAGACAGACAGACAGACAGATGACAGACACTGGCAGCCACACTTGTGCAGGATTCTCTGCTAGAGCCCTCTTCTGAGCCCTGCAGAAGGGGTTAGCAACAACACACTGGGCAGGACAGCTTGAGACCTGTGCCCCAACAGTCTGGCCAACAACCAGCCTGTGCTTTGCAAAGTACTGTGTGTTCTCTCTGCTGCACTAAACTACCTGGCTGTCATTTGCAAACCCAGCTGCCTGTGTTCAAAATGGCATCAGACACAAACAGGAACACATGGATAATGCTTCCTGAGGCTGGGCTGCCCCTGGCCACTTCTGAGGCTGTGTACTCACTCACCCTTCCACCTCAGGATTTTGGGAACTCACTGATGACAGGCAGGTAATCCCATTGTGACTGAGCCCTGAGCTGTGAGGGCACGAGCTGATGCCCCTGGTCTGGCACCCTCTGCCAGACCTCAGGGAGAGGGACCAGCATTGAAGCCAAAACCAGCCCACAACACCATGATATTTTTAATCTTCTGCTGAAACTACCAATAAGTAGAGCAATTAGGGCCATTTGTGGTTGCACGCTGCAATATAAAAATCCTTCACATACTGGTAATCTTCACACTTACCTAGCCCTCCTGGTTCCATGGTAAATTAAAAGGCTGCCTTTATGCAATTATGGTCAGAGAAATGAACATTGATCCTGATTGTGGCTTATGACAATTACACTGGAGGAACATAAGGAAGACTGATAATAGCTTTTTTCCCCTTGGCCATTATGGATGATTTATACTCTGTTCACTACTGATAACTGTTCATAATTATGAACTGCATTAAAAAAAAGCCAAGTGCCAAGGCTCTTAGAGTTATGCTGCAGGTCTGATACAAATCATTTCTGATTAACTATCTTGTCTATAATGTCAGCCGTAATGTGCTATAAAAAAATAAAAATCCGATTAAAAAAGTGGCAAAGTTTAGAAGTTGGAAGCCGCACGTGGGGCTCATTAGCGAAGCAGAGCCCAAATGTGCTGGGCACTGCCTGCCCCATTTACCATTGAGCCGTGTGATGGTCCAGTTCTTCCTCACTGCAGATGGCACACTTGGCAGCTCGAAGACGAAGGGCCCCACGTTGGGATCGATGTCGGCGTCGGCGGCCGTGATGTTGATGACATTGAGGTTTGGCTTCTCGCAGATCTGCGCCTCCTTGGGCAGCAGCTCCGGGGCGTTGTCGTTGATGTCGATCAGGTAGATCTGCAGAGTGCCCGTGCCGCTGGCAGGGGGAATTCCTGCAGGGGAGACACGGACCTGTGACCACCACCTGTGACCATCACCTGGCAACCAGCAACTGGGAGTGGCAACACCACAGACCAGCCCCCTCTCTGCCTTCCAGTTCCAAAAAACCAGGATTTTCACCTTCCCTCCCTGGACCTTGTTAGGGACATACTGCACTTTCATGGTCCCTTGATTTGTGCAGTATAAAACTTCCCCAAGCCTCCTGATGTTGCTGTTTTTCACTCCTGCAGAACAGCAGGTTGAGTTCTGCAGATCTGTAGCCTGCAGCAGTGCCCCCAGCTAAACTAAAACTACAAGCAGGTGATGCCAAGCTGTTCCTGCAAATCTTGGTAATGGCTGTTTTGAAGAAGAAAAACCATTAGAAAGAGAGCTGACAAGAGGAAGAAGAAGGCTTGGAGGGGAGAAAAACCTGCATAGTGTAACCCATTGGTCAGCATTTACTGGAGCACTTGCTGGCCAGTTTTCAGCTTTTCAGACCATTACTGTGCTTCAAAGAAAGCGCAACTCTCCAGCATGGCCCACATCCAACCCCAGCTTTAGTGGAGAGAGGTCCCTGCTTGAAGCCCACAGTATGAGCCATCACCAGACATGCTGGGTGATGCCACTAACCCCAGCAGCAGTGTTATGTCCCAAAACACAATTCCTCATCCTCTCCAGGTCTGCCCCAACCAGCAGGGATGTCCCAGCACAGCAGTCCTGGTCCTCCATCCCTTCTTCATGGACAGCCACATTTGTCAGACTAATGACAACTCACAAGTATCTGCCCTGGCAGGAGAGAACAGCCTTCCCAGAAATGGCACAATTTTCATTTCTCTCTCCACACATTTATCTGGCAGCTCTGTGTTGGCCTGCCCTCTGCCTGCCTCTCTCATCTGGCAGCATGGCTTCAGCAATACTTTTTAGAATTTGTATTTTCAGTCCTGGCCCTTCCTCCCAGTGCTGTATATAAAGCTACACAAACCACTTCCCCACCAGGCTTCTGCTTCCACAGACCTTCTTCCTACATTCCTTGCTCCATTTCTCAAGGGAGCCTCAAAAATTCTGAAGGAGCCCTGGAAATCCTTTTTTCATGGTTCCCACATAAGCTCTTCAATCATGGACTTGACTCATCCTTTCATCTTGTAAGCATGGGCAGGTCTCCCTCTAAAACAATGTCTTTTGATCAGCCTTGAAAGCTTCTGGAGAGGCAGACAGCCCACCAGGATACTGGGGCTGAACATGAAAACTGACTTTTGGGACCAAGGAAAGTGATTTTACTGCTTTCACATTACCCAGAGTATCTTCTGGGATAAAAGCAAGGCTCCCACTGTAACCTCTGAGACAGACTGAACACAAACCCTCAGTCCTGACAGGCACTAACTGGCATGTGGCTGAAATAACCTGCAATTGCTGCACATATAAATGCACTTTTGTTGGGCCATTGAGTATTGTTGGGATCTGAGTCCTGGTATTTTTGTTTCTTTGTATTCCTGAGTGCAGTTCCAGGGCAGTTTTAGGAGAAATGAAAAGTAAACAACTCTTTAAATGGCCAAGTCCTACAAACTATGGAACATTTCACATTACTTCAGTTGTCTTATATGGAGAGAGCAAGGACACAGAGCAGGTACTAATGTGCAATGAAGGATCCTTGGACTTTATCCTCAGGAGATGAGGACTACAATAGCACCACTGACTCCACTGGAGAAGCCGAAATTAAGACTGAAATACTAATGACAAAAGGAAGACAATGCAACTTCTGCATCCACATTTAACTGTTGAATTTTCCATCACTGCCTTCTTCACAGGGCCCGTGTCTGCATTCCCACAGCAAGGTACAAGCCAAGGTTTTCATGCTCAGCTCCTTGTTTCATGAAACCTGCTGGAATATGACATATTTAAGTTTTCAGCTTCCCTGGGAGATTGGCTGGAATTGGCTGAGGGGTTCAAACACTGCCAGGCTCCACTCTTGTGCAGACACAGTGTGACCCAAGGGACTCTCTCCTCAGAACCAGGTTAAAACCATGCTATTGATTAGGATTCCCCTTCTGCCCTCCTTACATTGCAGCCAAGACTTTCCTTAAAGACAGTATCTCTACCCTGGAGCCTAGGGAGAGAAAGAGAGCCTGTCCAAGGAGTATTGGCTGAACTTCTTCTTTATCATGGACTGACAATAGCAAAAAGAACTTCGAGGAAAGAAGATGCTGCTGCTTCTTCAAGAAAAAGAAAAATCCCCACCAAAACCCTTGACCCAAAGCTTTTCTTTGATGCCAGAGAACCTGGAACTTGGGAGCAATGTGGTAAGAGTCTATTAGCCTAGATGAAACTTTAGCTGTTATCCTAAGCACTCTAGACAGAATTTTAAATAAGGTGTTGCTTTATGTGCATTTTAATGGCTGCAATATACCAGTGATAGATTAATTTTTCAGAATAAAGAGATTTATCTAGGCCCTCACTTTCTGAGCTGCTGAATGATGGATGTGGAGGCACTGATGCACTGCTGCATGAGCACCACAGCCAGGGAAAGGGGTTAACTCCACGTTACACCAAGTGCCTGGAATTTGCAGGGTCAGATGGTGAGGATTAAGTTGATAGGTTCAACTCTACCACTGCACCTGTGAACAGCCTTGGCCTACTCATTTGACCTGTTGTGCCCTGTGGCTTTTGCAGAAGAACACTACTAGACCCCTTTGAGAATATTTTGAATTTCTCTGTTCTGGCTGCCTTCATGGAGGGGCAGCTTAGGATGGGGCTGTGGGGTGAGTCCTGCCATTCATGACACAAAGAAGGGGAAAAATGCATTTCTAGGCACAGCTCCTCAGCACTGAAACTCCTCCACGAGTTTCCCTCACCCCTGTGACCTGGGATGCAATGACTGAAGTGATGCATGGAACCCCAGAGGGAGGAAGTTTTCATTAGCCCTGCAACCTCCAGGGAATCTGCTCATAATGCCATGGCACCCCCAGCCTGGGGGATCACACAAACACTGCCCTGAAAGCACCTGCAGAGTATGAGCAATGTGTTTAGGTGCTCACAGCCAAGCCTGGACTGGATTGTGCTGCTGAAGCAGGGCTCTGATGTGAGTGCTCAGCACCCTGCAGCAGTAAAGTGAGGGTGGGTGAGGAGGAGGAAGGCCTTCTCCCTGTCCTGGAAAACTCCTGAACCTTTTCCAGATGGAGGAACTGAGGAATGAAATAGCAGCACAGCCACATTTGGGTGTGGTTAGCAAAAGTCACCAATTCCTCCTAACCAGGATTAGGAAGAGAAAAGCAGGGCAGCAGCACTGCCTTTTGAGTGGGGCCAGCACAGAAGCTCTCAGTGCTGACAGGTCCAAAAGCACCGAGTGAATTTCAATGAGAAGAGCAAACAGGACTTCTCCAGGAGATGTGACTGGCCTGAGTGGCTTTGGTAGTAAACACACCAGCACCAGATGATCTGATGATGGCTGCACATTTCAGGAAGGCAGTGGCCAGGAAGAGCCCAGCTCCAGTGACAGACACACCGTTTATGAAAGCCACCACGGTTCAGCAGATGGGCTCATTTTTAATACCCTCCTGCCATCCCATAAAATTATTTCTGGTTTCCTGATGGAAGGCTTCCTGAATGCTCTGATCAATGCCTTTGGGGGGATTACCAGGACCTGTGTGCTTGGCAACCCCTGGAGAGCACATCCCCTTGACACTTTTTTAAGTTCAGGCTAGACCGCTACACTGAACTCCCCAAATCAATTTTCCATTTGTCCTCCCTTCCCCTTAATAACACCCTCCGTACACTGTGCACATTTAATTTACTCCAGCAATTTCCCGTCCCACTTTCACATTTTTGACCATAAAAACCTGGGAAAAAGATAACTTATACTGACAACTCTGTCAGGGCATCATTTCTCTTAATGCATCACATTAGAGTCTTATTGAAGCATGAACAATGTGAAGCCTGGGCTCACCGTTGTCAGCCGCCAAGAATGTGGCCTCGTAGACATTATTCTTAATGTAGTCTGACTCTCGATCAAGGACAGCAGCAGTAGTGATCTGACCATTTGTGGCATTAATGTTCAGCCAGTTTGCAGGATCTGACAGCTTAGAGTATCTACAGAGAAAGGAAATAAATACATGGCATTCTTTTCACTGACATATCCTTAATATTGCTTGAAATACGTTTTTTTCTGGACTCCTGACCTGTGATTCAAAGGACCTTTGGATAATTGGTTTTGTTGACAAACACAATGCTAATTGAGTATCCGGTTTTTGACCTTTACAATTATTCAATTTTTCAATTACTTTAGTTTTAAAGGTTCTTCTTTCCACTAAGTGCCACTTACATGCCAGTTTCCTGCTGCTAGGAGAGGACATTTCCTGAGGTCTCTGCAGCTGAGGAGAAACGGGGTCTGCAATGACTACTGCATTCATATGCCTGAATTAGAGGATGGATTCCTGCTCTCTCCTGCTCCTGACCTTGCCCTTCTGAAAATAGGTTTTTAAAGTCAAAGATATTCCTGTCTTCTGCCCACCAATAATAAATAACAGTTTGGGAATGCCACACCGTCAGAGTCACCTCCCAACTACTCAACCAACTCATACTTGTTGTCTATTCATGTCCCATGCAACCAGCTAAGAACATGGGGTTTTTTTGGGCAAACTTTCCCCGTGTTCTCCAGATCAGTGTGTTCAGTTCATCTTTTTTAACTTGCTTGTTTTCTTGCTTTTCTGCATCTCAGTTTTGTACTGTTTGAACTGAGATGGACCATAACTATCTAACTGGAAGCTAATAAATGGCCAGACTATAAATTACTGAAATAAGCAAACAGAAGCTGAGCTTATTTCATGGGTAACTCAGACCTGCTGATAGTTTTATATAATTTGTCATTAGACATGCAGGTGGGAACATTACAGGCTTCTGGTGAATATCCCTTTCCAGAATTGGGCTGTTTGAAGCAGAAACTCAAAGGGAAACTTGAGCTGCATCAATCCATGTGAAGAGGAAAGCAACACACAGCTGCACAAACACCTGCCAAAGGAAAGAATTACATTTCATGGAGCTAGACTCTCTGGGATGTTTTCATTTCAATATCACTGCTGTGAGGCTTCTGCCCTTTCTCTGCTAAATGACCAGGGATCCAGTTTCAAAGCAGGCTTTGTGAATGTGTCTGTGGCTAATGAGGATAACCTGAGGTGTGACACTGGCCATGCCAAGCTGTGCATTACTGAAGATGCTCCTGCTTCCTCATATTCTATTTGTAAAAACTCTATTTCATCAAAGACTATTTAGAGACTGAAATTTGTATGCAAGGCTCTAGCAGCTGGATCAGCTCTGCAAAGTACTTATCATGGATCTGTAGGCTTAGCCTTTTGGCTATCTTTTTTTTCTAACTCACCAATGCCAACTGTGAAGTAAAAAATAAATTATCTTTTTTTACATCTCACAAAGACAGGACCCCAGAAACACCCCATTGCTTCCTGCAAAGCCTGGGCATTGGCTGTCGTGATGCAAAGGGAGAGAAATTGTACTGGGGTTTGGAAATGAAGTGCTGGTGGAGGCACAAAATGTGTGTCCTGGAAGCCCTAGAAAGAAACAAGTAACTGGCTGTTCACACTCACAGGAAGCCTTACAAGACCCTACACATGCCCTGTGCAATGACAAGAACAGCAGGTGCTTGTTTGGATTACAGATCACCCCCCTCCAGGTTAGAGGGAGTACTCAATCACAAATGAATTGTTCTCTCCTCTGAAAACCAGCCTTGGTACAGACATCAGGGAAATAAAGACCCTTCAAAGGCCAATATTTCAAAAAGAACATAAGAAAAATGGGCTTGTTAGTTAGGATGGTCTCTTTCCTCCAAAGACACAATGCCTGTCTAAAGACAACAAGATAAGGCAGTGAATAAACTATCATTTTCTAGACCCGACAGCTCTGTGCCAGGTGAAATATTTCAAACTCTTCCTGACACAAAATGTCACAACTGATGCAAGTTTAAGTGGCCTCAGTCGTGGTCACGTCGTATACTCAGGTTTTGCCAAAAATACCACAGCCCTTACAGACTGGGAGCAAAAAAGAAAACAGTTTCTGTGGATGTAAAAGTATCCAAGAGCAGGAAATGCATTTCCTGTCTGCACAGTCGGAGCTGAAATAGTTGTGAAAGTGTCACAAGGACTCATTTTCACCTACACTTTTCTGCCAATTATTTCCTGGTGAGAAGGTGTGTGAGCCAGGCTCCTGGACTGTGGATTCAGTCCCTGGTCTGCCCAGGTGGGACAAAACAGAGCGAGTGACACCCTCCTGGTCACAGCAGGAATTAAAAGTGGTCTTAAGCTGCTTGGATAGAAATCTGACTTTTACAAGGTTAAAATTTTGTCAGCTGAATCCCATTCACAGGGAAAGCAGCTAAGGAGGAGGTTATGTTTGGCAGGTGCTCTGAAGAGAAAGGGAAGGTTGGAATAAATTGCACCTACAGGGAGCAGACAAGGGGAGCACTGGTGAGATACAGACCAAGTGCCAATGGCCTGTGAATGGTGTTTGACCGCTCAGGCAACACTGAACAATTTGACACTTTCAAAGCCTGCCCAGCAGCTGTTTGCAACCCCACCAGCCTTGCTCTGAACTAGCCAACAGCTTCTCTTGCACTCTGCTTTTAAGCAAGGTTGAACCTAAATCCTCTGGAAGAAACACAAGGCTTGATTAAAAATCCCAGCCATTCCCTTTGAAAACCCAGACCTAGCCCTTTATGTGCCTCAGTTTCCCCCCATAAAACAGAAATAGAAAGGTGCCTTTTTCTAAACCTCTGTGTTTATCAAGTGCATGAACCACACAGGTCAGAGCACGCTAGGTGAGGCAGAGCAAAGACTGGGTACAAAGCAGCCCTGACCTCGGTAACAATGCAGAAATCTGCCTCATTTAAAGGAGTGATCTGCCCCACTGCAAGCCACTAACACAGGACCCAACCCTGCTCTCCTTGACCCAGCTGCTCAGAGCCTGCCTTACCTGGAGCAGGGGGATTGTGAGTTTACAGGCTTGCAGGACACCGTGCGAACACTCGACTGCAGGTGCCACTCCCTGCCACGATTTCACTCACATCCCACCTGAGCCAGCTTGGAAACCAGCTTTCAGCTGCTCGGCTGCCCAGACGGGTGCAGCTGAGCCCCCCAGGTGCAGGGGAGCCCCTGGGCCGCCTGGTGTCCCACCTTACTGCCTGCTGCATGAAGCGATCGGGATCCACCGCCGAGAACGTCGTCAGCACCGTCCCCGTGGGCACCCCTTCCTCCAGCCTGATCAGCTTGTGGTTGGTCGGGAAATACGGGGCCTCGTTGACGTCTGTGACTGAAATGGTGACTCCTGCTGTCGACTGGAAGGACATCTGGATGCCACTGGCCAGGGGAGCTTGGTTTGAGACCATCACTGTCAGCATGAAAGCTCTGTTCATCTCGTAATCGACTGCCTAAAACAAACAAACAAGCAAGTCTAGAGCCAAGCAGAGAATATATCCCACCTCCTGGCTGGAAGCTGCAAGATTAGAAGGCAGATAATATCAAAGTCATTGCCTCGTCTTGTTTCGTCCTGAGCTCGGTTCTTTTGAAGGTGTAAATCCAGAGCAACTTCAATCCAGTGGAGGATTTGGCCTTCCAGCTTTTGGAGAGTCAAATAGTTAAAAAAATTCCACAAAGGAAAAACTGCAAACAGCAGGGAGCATTTGCCCCGTGTTTTGTTCCACTGCTAAGTGGTTTCCAAAAGACAGCCTGCCTGTGAGAGCTGAGCATCAAATGAGCAAACCCACCCAGGGCTGCTCTAATGCAACAGGTGGAGCCTGTTCAGAGGGCTGTGACGGGCTCTTAGCACTGCTATTAGCACTGAAACTGCTGACTGTGGAACCACGACAGTCTCTGTGGACTCCTGAGCCTGAAAGGCTCTTTATTTTCCCTCTTTAATGAGTTTATAAGCAAAGGTGGAGCTGCCAGGAACAATCCCAGGTCAGGTTGAGCAGGTGGTCCTTCCAGTGGGACCTCTCATCCTCCTGCAAGGCACCTCGAGGTCTCTGGAGGTTGCCCACAGCTCTTACAGCTGGGTTTTGCTGCTGGGAGGCCACAGATCTCTTCTCAACACACACATGAACACAATGTGTCTGTCCCAGGAGCCAGACAGAATGAAAAGCCTTTGCTGGCACGACTGACTGAGCCCAGTATAATAATAATTTCTAAACCATCCCACTAATTATTATGAGGGAAGTTGCTAATCATCTGCCAGGGAGGCTTGAGTTATGCAGGATCACACCTCTGCTTGTTAAAAACTGCTTTGCCGTGATTTATAAATTTAGAAGCATATCCATCCTCCTTAATACCTTCTGCAGCGCTGAGTCTGCAAAGCACTCACTCAGGGTGTAAAATGCCACAGCTACACCGACTTGGGCAGGGATTTACAGCAGCAAGAGCTGCCTGCCATGTCCTGTTTAAAACCCAGTATTGTCAGGAGGGAAATCAAATCATAGGAGGCTACACGAGAGAAACAAATTTCAGGGGCAAAAGGTAAAACAGCGGAATCTTTACTCGATTGAAGTGCAAATGTTCCCAATGCTAAATGGCTTCCTGACAGGCAGGGCCAACATTTAATAAATAAAAGGAAGCATAAAGATTCCCAGTACACCCACCCGTGCTGACTCACGGACTGGAGCTGCATTCAAAACTGATGCATGGTAAAAGTTCCCATTTAAACACTATTCAAGGCCCTGAAACAAACAATTTGACTAATGCATTTCCTCAATTTCTTTTCACACCCCCTCTGATTTATATTCCCCCAATTTTCTTTCTTTTTTTTTTTCCTTTTTTTCATGCTGCTCTGTTTGCTAGGCTGTCCACAGCCACTCTGCAACTCCCTCCCCAAAGGGGCTCAGAGGCAGCTGGGGGCTGAGCATTCCATGGGGCATGATGTGGGAAACTCCTGCTGCTGCTGATGCTCAGGACACACTGACCACACACAACTCTGCCAGGATGTGGCCTGATTCAAAGTAGTGGGGATTTTTTCCCCCACAAAATGTAGGGCTGTTCTTTCAGCTTGTTCCTCTTTGTTCTGGTAGCAACAAAACCAGGGCTGCAGAAAAATCGTGCAAGGAGCGGAGCTGGACCAGGGTCAGCCACCCCAAAGGCTGTCCAGAGGCATCAGTGTCACCAAATAGTGTCCATCCCACTCCAGTCTGCAAGACAGAGCTGATCTGCTCATCTCTGCTGTGTCCACTGAGTCCTATCTCACAGTTTTGTTTAAAAAAAAAGGTAAAATCAAGAGTCTGTGCTGTCCTGGCAGCTGGGGCTATTGAACCCCATGGGACAGCAGCCCCTTGCAGCCCTAGGGTAGAACTTCTTTCACACCTTAACAGCAATTTATACCAGAACTGTTCATACCTGTGCTCCCTAAAACTGCCTCCCTCTGAGGACAATGGTGCACAGAGCACTCTGTGTTTCTCACACCACACTCACCCCTTCCACCTCCATGCATCTCACTGAAAATGCTGTATATTGGTCATTTGATGTGGTTTTAGGGACATAGGTGGACTTGGCATTGCTAGGTTAACAGCTGGACTTGATGATCCTAGAAGTATTTTCTAACCAAAACGATTCTTTGATTCTATGACAGCAGAATCCTGAAGAAGCACACAGAGCCACTACACGTGGGGCAAAGACATGTGGGACTCTTGCCTACTTTTCACTTTCATGTCCAAGAAATACTTGCCATGAAATTAAAAAGCAGCACTTTGGCAGATACTCCTTGCTGGATGTTTGGTGTTTGATCTGGCTGTGAAATACCCCCCTGGAGATGCTGCACATCCTCCTCCTTCAGCAGCATCTCTAACCTGGGTGCAGCAGAGCGATGCTGAGGGCTTGCCACGTGTCCTCCTTCTCTCGGGGTACTTTTAACTGAAGTGAACAAATTTGCCTGGTGTTATAGTTGAGGCAAATAATAACTGAAGCTTCAGCAGCATCTCCATTACAAATTCACAGCTCTGATCCATGCAGAGTTTGTAATAACATTTTACTTAGCTGGCTGCCACAGGGCAGCCACTGCTGCTCTGGGAGATTGTCTTCAGACTCTGCAGTGTCTCATCTGAGTGGGAAGTTTCTCTCTCCCCTTGATCAAGGCTTTCTTTGAAGATTAGGGTCTTGCACAGTTATGGAAATGGTTTGGAAAGGCAAGAACAGAAAAGGGAAATGTTATACTTTTGGTGATCACACTGGAGCTACAGATGGGGTTTTGCTGAGGGCAGCTGTAAAATGGCCCCCATGGGCATAATCTGAACTCCAAAGGGAAATCTGGCTTGGAAGGATTTCTGGCCCTCCATTTCAGGCCTCTAAAATGCTGGTGGAGTGGTGGGATTCTGTACAGAGCCCCCCTCCTTGTGCTGTTGCTGTGACACCTTCGCTTGTAGCAGGAGTTACGTGTGAGCAGCTTTGAAGAAAATCCAGCCATATAGGGACTGTAAATAAATGGTTCATTACTTGACTTTATTTTTTACCTGTGTTTTCAACCCACATCAGTGATCAAACCAGCAAAAGACTGCTTCAACACAGCAAAGAACAAGCTCTAACTGGCCACCCAGTCTGATGAAGAGTACATTGCCCAGATCTTTAAGCATATTCACTTATTAACAGAGAACAAAATATTTCAAAGAAGAAGGTGGAATCCTAAGAGTCTTCCCTTCTTTGCCATGAAAATTTAATCACAAGCAATTTCACTCATTCTCCTTGCTGAAAATACACCAAAAAGCCTCCCAGGCAGTTAGGGGTAGGGAGCCCTGGTGCCCAGGAGGATCAGGTGAGGTCATGTAGTGAAGACATCCAATGCAATTTCAGGCTCTGAGCTCAGCTTGACGAGATGGGATTTTCATGTGGTTCTCTGCTTTGTGATCACTGTGGGTTACACAGCAGTGGAAAATCAACACCAGCATCAATGGTGTCTTGACAAATCTGCCCTGCTTTTTGCCTGAAGTTGTGAATAAGGGATGGTTCATTATGCACAAGTCCTTGTGCAGCAGTGTTTATCATGCAAATCCCTTGTTGTTCACTTTGATGTGCCTTTAAACTACAGTCCTGACACTTTGCAAGATTAAAAATAAAGGGTCCTCCCCTACTTGCAGTGAAAATGTTGGCATTTTGATTCCAGACTGGCTGCTGATGTCAGTGGAAGTTAGATTTTTGCACTTTTCTTCATTGAATATTTTCTGTCTAAGCAGAAAATCTGGATGTGTAAATTACACACATATATGCAACCATATACAAGTGTCTAAGCTTGAAGAGGTTTCATAATGTTGCACCAGGTAAGGCTGTCAACCATCATCACAGAGCAATAAAAAGTGATAAATAAGAGGACCCTGCTGAAATACCATCTGGCAGGTAGGATGATGTGTCCCTTGAAGTTTCAGCAGAGCAGCATCTGCAGACACACACACATATCCCCAGGTCAGGGAACAGGACAGGCTCACACGTTCCTGCCAGAGTGACCTCACTGCCATTTCACTGATGTCATTCTTCCTAAGACACAAACTGTGCCCATTAGGAATGACTGCAACTTGTTTAGCTAATAAAGGAAACAGGGCTCAACACAGAGCTATTCTGGGATCATGCTGCTCTTTAAACTTAGTATATCTACTCATGTTGTTGATTAAAACTTTGTATAAGGAAGGCCAGACTCATCAGAAGGTGCTGGCTTTATCCACCACTTGCACTGGCTTTATCCTTCCCACTTGCATGGTGTGTGCTGTGCAGCTCCTGCACATCTCCACAGCCTATGTGTGATGTCTTTGCTGGTTTTGTAGTCAGAGGGAGCATCTACAGGGATCCTGTCTGGGAAGAACTTCAGTGAATGCTGAAGAGATCCAGTGATGTCCTGGCTGTGTGTAATGACTGCAGAAACACTAACTGGCCTCAAAACTGAAAGAGAAGCGAATGCTCCAATGAAGATAAGAGTCATGTTCTTTGGAGGCAAGGAAAGAAACACAGTTTGGCACTTGCTGCAGGTATCTTGTGGCTTCCAGCTCTACCAGCACATGGAGGGAAGAAGGGATGGTGGATATTTCTGGTCTGATTTCTTGGGAGTCTTTAGACAAGAACCTCTGCTGATCCATCCTGGGGGGGTGGCTTTGAGTGGAGCTGCCCTGAACTGAGGATCTGCCTCATACTGTGTGTTTAATACCAGGAAAAGGAAAATTGGACAGTTTTTCCAACAGGTTTACTGCCAAACAACTCAGTCAAAGGGAAGATCTCCTTCCCTTCTGTTACCAGAAAATTCATTCCTCCTGAGACATGCCCTGCTTTCCCAGAGGATTACTTGACTGACCCAGGCAGTGAAACACTGCCCTTGATTCACAGCAAGCAGGGGCTTTTCTGGCTCAAGAAGTGCAGAGCTGCCCAGCCCAGGCCCATTCCCTCTTACAGAGCTCAAAGAACCAAGGAGGAGCAGGAGCTGGAGGTCAGGCTCCAGTGCTGGGAATCCCTTCAGCATTTGAGGCTTTTTGAAAACTCCTGGTGGGCTGGGCTGAGCTGGGAAACAGCAGCTCCAAGCACTGGTATTTCCAGACAGAGAAGGACTGGAACGGCTGCAGGCTCCTGGCAATCCCTGCAGCTGCCAGGGTGACAAACAGGCTGTGCTTTGGGTTGTCCTTACCTTGACCACGGTGACCATGCCCTCGTTGGTGACGGGGTCAGTGCGGATGGTGAAGTGGCCCGAGGGGTCCCCGCTGATGATGCGGTAGATGGCGTTCCAGTTGGGAGAGTGGGGCTGGTCCCGGTCCATCACCGTCAGGTTTGCCACCACAACCTCCACTCTGTTCTCAGGCACTTCCCCTGAGTACTGCAAAGCAAAGACAGGGGTGGGCGTGGTGGCCATGGTCATTCTGTCCATCCTCACACGTCCCTCCCCTCTCCCCTCCATCACCATGCCCACTGGGAAGCCTCCATGAAGAGAGCCTTGGAGTTATTTGTAATGAGCAACACACTTCCTTCTCAATTCTGCTTTTCCTGTTTTTTTCTTTTGAGTATTTCCCCAAAGCCCAGCTTCACCTTTCAGCCCAAAGGAGAACAAGCCCACTATCACACAGCCACAGGATTCAGCAAATGCTCCAAGGAATCCAACAAAAAACATTCCTGATATTCTTGCTTAGTTACAGCAACCAGAGAGTTAACTGTCAACAGTAGGGGAAAATGGCAGACTGAAATGTCTAAATTTTTTAGGATGACTATCTCAGTTTATCCCAAGATATTTTACTCACTCAGATTTCAGTGATGGCATTTTATTGCTTCTTCAGCGATTTTACTTCATTTTATTTCTTTCTTGCCCATGATTTGATTTTATTTCATTATTTGAAGTGTTTCTTGTGATTTTGCCACAGCCTTTCCTGGTGCTTAATTCTCCCATTTAGCACTGATTTCCATGGAGCATGTCCTGTTCAGGCACATCCTGACACATTAACTGCATTCTTTCCTGCTTCCCAGTCCCTGATTTATCACATGGCTGATCAGGGATCCTGGCCTGTGAATACTTCCAGTGTTTGGGTCTCAAAAGCTGCCAGTAAGACACGTTCCCAAATTTTCAACTGTCCTCATGTCTCAGCACTGCCTATTAGCAGCACTTGCAAATCAACCCTCTGATTGACATATGGCAAATTAAACACTGGGGAAACGCCGGGAGCGGCTGGCTCCGAGTCTGCTACTGAAATTCTGGCCCCAAACTGCAGGAGCAGAGCACTTCTAAAATCTGGCCTTTGGTGTGCACAAATGCCAGGTTGTGTAAATGATAATAAATCATTCCTTTGTTAGCACAAGAGTCTGTTTCCCCTCCTAACCCATCCCCATCCTTTGGCATCTCTCTGGTACGGATGTTTGTATTTGGTATACATTATTTCACCGCTGACAGCAAAAATATTCAATCTGCCTTATGCTACTGTAAATTTAAATTTGCCCTTTAGTGGTATCCTGAATGGCATCTTGCCCTCTTTTCTGCTATGCACCTGTCCTAAACAAGTTTTCATTAGTGAATGCAGATGGCATCTCTTTCCAGCCATGCCGAGTGGTGGCGAAGAACAGTGGGAAACTGCAGGGTAATTCTTATTCCACTACATGCTACAGCTCTTCTTTTCTCTTTATTTCCCCTGATTTCACTTGTTCTTTACCCATTCTCTTGCCCAATTTGGAGTCTCTGCGGCACACAGCTTAAGCAAGGGAAATACATGGAAATTTATCAAAAGCCTCTTGAAAAATCCATTAGATTATGTCGTATGTACACTCTGCTATCAACCTTGTCTGAACTGAAGCAGATTAGTTAAACAGGATCATCTCTTCCTAAATCCACACTAGTTATTGCCCATTACATTAAATTAATGTTGTATGGCACAGCAGCAGTGACAAACTGACGACCCCCCCCAATCTTTTTCAGGCTGCACTGCTGACAGCAAGGTATCATCCTGTAATTCCAGAGGAGTTAAACCATCTCAAATCTTCAACCCAGGACCACAGATTTTGTCTGTCACTCCTAGGCCTATGCCCAGCAGAATCAAACAGTATTAAGTCATCAAGAACAAACCATCAGCTGTATTTAACCCATTTGAGAGGACCAGTCCTATATGACCCCAGCACACCTTCAGTAGGTCACAACCCAGGAGCTGCCAGTGAGTTTGGGTTACTTGGAAAAGTCCCACACAATAGATTTTACAGCAGCTCCTCTAGCAGCCATCACAACATCTGTTTTCAGCTCACAGTGATACAGCTTACACATTTTAAAACATGAGGTTGTATTAAAAATTATAAATACACAAGCACATGCCAATATAAAGCCTGGAGGAAGATCACAGCAGCCTATAAAGCTTTTCCACTGGGGTGAACACCACAATGCTCAGCACATCCTGGGCAATCCAGGAGTTCATCCACATGTTGATGACCTCTGTTAGGTACACTTAGGAAATTATCAGTCCTAAGCAGCACTGAGAGTGGATATTTCTTACTGTGCTTATAAAGCAAAGTATTATTCTGATGAGAACAGAGCACCTTCACTGGAATCAAAGGAGTCATCCAAAGCTATTCAGGGTAAAAAGCAAATCTTGGAGAGATGTGCCATGAAGAAAAGAGTAATTTTCATCAGCTACAGATCAGCAGCTACTGGGAATTCAAACTGGAGTCTGCCTTTCCTCCCTCTCACACTCCTCCACTATCATTATTATAGGTAAATGCTGTAATGTGTATTGTCCACAATTGTCTTTACCTTTAATAAAATTAAGTAATGACATTAAATTACACCTGCTAAAGGAAGGATGGCAGCTCAAAGCTACCCACACTTCTTTAATGTCATTCCCTCCCTACCCTGGAGTAATCCAGGATAATGAACATCTTTCACTATGCTGCTTTCCAGCGTTCCCTCTGCTCTAAGTTCTCTTTCATAAGATTACAATTGATTTTCAAATAAAGAGAAGCATATCTATTCAAACAAGGTAAAACAATGGGCAACGGAGGAGCTGCTGGAGTAAACACAAGATTGATAAAGCAGTGCTTGACCTATACCTGTAGCATTTACTCATATTCCCCTGTATTTCATTTAGCTTCACTTTCAGTTGTTGCATTTGAAGTCCTTAATTTCCAGAAAATTTTTAGAAGACCATTCACAAGGATTTCTATGGCTGATTGTTACACACTTCCCTTCTCAGATAAGGATTCGTTCTGAAAATGGCATGGTCTTAAATCCTTACATTCTGTGGAGTTTTTTTTTCTTCCTCCCTCTATAAAGGCCTGTGCTGGCAAAACTCCTTCTCCATCATGCCTTGCTGAAAAGGAAATAATTAATTCTGATTTTTTCGGTTGGTACTAAAATCAGTTAATCCCAGAATTTGTCTCTCATGTCATTTGGACCTGAGAGCACATAAACGTGCAGACAAATATCATTCTGAAGGAGAAAGGGATTGATATGGGGGACAAGTGATGAATTCACACCATGACTTGACTTTGTGCAATAAATCTGGAGTCTGGGCAGTGAAGTCATGCACAGCCGAGTAAAACCAATTAGCTACTGCAGCCACTCCTAGGGAGGTGTGGGATTGAGACAGATGAACACAAAGATAATTATTCAGGCTTCCTTCTAGAGGGAATTCCTTTTCTTTTTTTTCCAATATTCTTACTTTTTTCCCTATTTGGTTTTGCTAAAAAGCTGTGAAGGCAAAGGCTTGTCCACATGAATGTCTGCAGGGAAGATCTTTCTGTTTTCTCCAAGATTTGCTAATGATGTCACAACATTTGTTCCAGGCAGCAGTGGGTTGTGAAGGCTGAATTGCCGGGACAAATAATGTTTCATGACCTATAGCTATGGATGAAGAGAAGAGTAAGGGCATCTCAGTCCTCTTATTAGACCCTGAGCCCCTCCCCTGACAGCTATGACTGCTGCAAAGTGCTGAATCTCCTCTCTAGGTGCCTCAGGCTGGGAGAAACTGAAATGAGGGTGAGTGTGTGTGGTGGTGGGGTGTCCCATCCCTCCCCAGTTCCTGCTGCCAGCCTGCCCCACTGGGCTCTGGAGACGAGGTGCTGTGCAGCCAGGGAGCCCAGCACTCAGGGGGCTCCACTGGCTGAATAAAACCCATGGCTCCTCACGCTTCAGGGCATCCACTCAACCCCATGCTGGCACCCCAGGCAAGGGTTTACCTTTTCTGCTAACAAAGATGCTTGAAAAGTAGGGAAATTAATAAACAACTGCAGTCTGGTTGCAGCAATCTGTGTAAAATGGAGGGGGGGAAGATGAAAATCTCCTAATAAATCATTAATTGTGATGTGCCTGCCCAACTGCAGCAGGGAAACAAGCAAATGCCATCCTAATTGATTGCTTCTTATTCCATCTTTATAGGCCTGCATTTTTTATTGTGGTGGTTGAATAAGCCCAGAGGTGTAAAAAACCTCTAGACTGTACTCTGCATATCTGCCAACTTGATATTTAGATCAATAATGCTCTTTTTTTCCCCCCCCTCTACTCCTACTACTGGTAATTTAGCTTTTCTTCCTAGCAGACTAATTGCTGTTTTCTTAAGCCTTACTATCAATTCTGTGACCTTTAATTTCCAATATCCTTTGCTGTAGGGATGGCTGTGCTGGGGCTGTGAGTTATCCCAGCCCTGGCTCTCGGCTGCTGTGACAGTCACACTGTGTGCAGAGGAGACCACCAGCTTGCTCAAATCCCCACAAAACCCCTGTAAAGTCAGCCTTATTTTGCAAGCCAGGCTTTGAGATGCTCATTTCTGATTTTATTAAACTACTCACTCTGGTGAGGTCTCGAGTGATGACCACTGATAACCTCACTCCTTTTTGAGGCTGCTCTGCTTTACACCAGCCAGTAGCCCCCCCCTAAACCTCAGGGCTGCTCTTTTTTCCAGGTCCATGGCCACAAAACCCCCTCCACTGCAGCATCTCTGCCTCAGCTTCACACCCACGTGGATTTACTCCACAGTGCACCCGTGAGTGCATTCACACCCAGCTGTCACCCAGGTTCTCCCTCTCAAAGGGGCTGCCCAGGCTGCAGGCACTGCCTGGTGGTGCTCAGGCAGCATCAGCCCTGCCCAGCCCAGTCAAGAAGCACAGGACACTGAGCTCAGCAGCTTTGAAAAGATGCTCTGGAAGTTCTGCCTCAGTCCTCAGCAGTTTGTGCTGCTGAAGCAGCTCAGCTGCCTGCACAGGAGCCCTCTGAGCTCTGGGGATGTGTGGTGCACACAAGGCACCCACCTGCTCACAGAGTTTGTGCAGGATGTCTGAGTGATGCTCAGCGTGGTCTCCATGTGCTGGTTTCGTTTTCTTTGGGAGAGTTTGAAAAACAACAGCAAGCCTTAA